TTACTTAGCCGAAGGAAATTTCATTGGCACAATATTTCCGCACCAACAGATGTCCGTGTGCTCTTTTTGCCCAGGACTTGGGGAGAATGATGGGGTATATCCAGTGTATAAACCTTTGGAAAAGAGTCCTAGATGGTATTATATAGGGATTTACAAAGTTTGTCTTGATTTCTTAGACTTTTTATTAAAATAAAAATAGTTTAAATTGTTGTCATTAATGGAAGAGTTGTTTTAAATCACTTACTTGAAAATATTATTTTTATTTCCAGTATTTTTTCCATTTAAAAAATACTTTTTAGGTATGCGAGACAATTTCCTTTAGTACCGGGTATCTCATAGTCGGGTCACTTAATTAGGTCTCTCTTTTTGGTTTATTTGTGTAATTCTTTTTGTGGGACTAATCGATAGCACGTGACGTTTAAAGGTGAACGACTGTGACACTGGGTTGAACGCACAGATAAGACAAAAGAGGAAAATTGGGGGTGGAAAACTGGGGGGGAGGTATGAGGTGGCAAAGAAGCCCGGCATCCACACGGCAACAGGATGACTACGAGGACGTCACACAAATTGACTTTTTAAGTAGGCAACAATGTGGCTACAGCTGACGAAGGACGAGGAACGAGGCAGGACGCAGGACGAAGGCAGTCAGGCTGCGGCAAACCCAGTATAATAATAATGGAGCGCAATAAAAAAAATGTGGGCGAAACAGAACCATTGCCATTTCCATTTTGCAACCCAGAAACCACCCGAAGACGTTCTACATTTTCATATCAAGTCCTCTATTTCGGCGTGTGTCTCTGCGTTTGTGGGGCCTGTCATCGGGAAATGACGGCATTACGGCATTTACAGTTAATGCCTTTATGTCCTCGAGGATTTGGCCTGACATGCGGTCGGTTCCTGCCCCCCCCCGGGGGGAATCAAATTCTTTTGCATAATATTTGATTTTATTAGACAGAAGAAGACATTGGCGCAACTATATATTTGATTTTTTTTTTTTTGTTGCTTGGGCACATTGTTAATTTGACAAAAATGTAGTTCAAATGGTTTGTGGGGATGTGCTTGGGGGAAACCGGAAGAAAGAAAGAAGTACGACTTGGAAATGATTAAATTTATAACTTTTCTAGACTATTAGTTTTGTTATGTATTAAATAAAATGTATATAATATGATGGAGTTATAAAGATGGTTTTACATTTTAAATTACTAAAATAATGGGGGAACCCTTCAAACATTTTGGCAACCACAAAACTGACCCACTTACTTTCAAATCCATTAAACAACCTTTAAAAGTTGAGATAGTTTTAGCATTTATAATCTGCACTTACTCTGCCTTCTAAACCTTCTAAATCTATAATAATATTCCAACATCTGGATTTATGGACATTTTATATCCAATTCCCATCTTGACACACTTATACACTCGAATCATAAATGCCATATTTTCACATTCGTGTTGTCGTCTTTCGGGCGCATTCAAAGCCGCAATATCCAATTAAGTATTCATTTAGTTTTGTCAACTTCAACAATGGAAATTCATTGCTTGTGTGCAACAACAACAACGACACCATCACCATAGTCAGCCCACAACACATGACCCGTTTTTCCCCCAAAAAGTAAACTAGAAAATTACATTTTCATGTCACAGAGACACACACACTCACTCGCACACCGTATCGCTTGTCAGCGATGGAAAACCGAGAATTTCACTGCTTCTCGTTTACTGGCCATCAACCCATCAACTATGATATATCGTACACATTCGTAAATGTACATATATGTACCTATTTTTTTCGATTCCAACTTTGCACCCCCTACTACCCTTTTACCAGCAATCCCCAATCACCCATTTGCATTGAGCTTTTGATATGGATGTGAGAGTTCGGTTGGTGTGTGTGTTGGGGTTATAAATCGCTCATGTCTGCGGCAAGGTCTCTATAGGCAGACAATGCGCCACCTGTCGTCCTGGGAATAAAATGTATCGAAATGGGAATAATATTCAACGAGTGTGTGGGAGTGTGTGGGATTTCATATCATGTCTATAAACTCTTAACCGAAAATAATGAATACGAATGGGTGAAATTTTAACCAAAAAAAGTGTTCGTTTTGGGAAATATTTATATTTAGGCTGTACAAGTACACATTCTTGCATAAAAACTTCCGAAAAAGTAAAACAATCTCTTGGGATTTCAAATAACTTGAAAACGGTATAAAAACTTATATCATTTACCATGAAAACTTTCACTTTGGATGGTGTTCTTAACATTTTAAAAATGCTGCGTACTATTACCTTTAGTTGATTTTAATAATTTAGAGATTTCAAATCTCTGGAGATTTAAAACCACCACAAATCTAAAATGTAGATGGGAGATTTTAAATCTCGTGATATTTTTATATTTAATAGACATTTGAGATCATTGGGCTCTTTAAAAATTAGAGATTTTACATTTCTAGAGGTATTAAATCATCACAGAACTTATATCACCAGAGATTTGAGATCACTCAAGATCTTAGATCATTATAAATCTTAAAATCCAAAGTAATTGGAGATTTTAGATAAGCAGGGATTTCAAAACATTTGATATTGTATCTGTAAAGACGGTAATTTCCTAGATATTTTAAAGAATGACAATAAAACGTTCTTAAAAATAAATAATTAATAATTCATTAAATTGTTTGGCTATATGGAGTAGTCCAGTGTAAAACAAAATGATCAAGCAAGTAAACAGGCTTTCCAACTAGTTAGTAGTTATTTTCGTGACTAATTAAGCTATCTAGTTACCCATCTTTATTGTTTAAGATACAATGAGTCATCTTGAAAAGCAGTTTATTATATTACATTTTATCTACTCATCTGCTTATCACTTTATCCTATCGCCGGGCCCTCAACTGTTGCTCTCTTTGTGTTAAGCGCATAATACATATATATAGTATAACCTAATCCAGTCAGTCAGTGACTTTTAAAGTACATCTCATAAAGCTGCGAATATAATTGTATAGAATTTCCCAACATTATTGCAGCCTCAATGCTGGCTACTCTCGTTCCTCGTAGCTGCGACCCCAAAATAAAGGTTGCTTGACCCCCGTGGAACTTTTTCAGTGACTCTGTTGTTGCTAATTTTGCTGGCCGAATGGGTTCATGAACTCGACGAAAAACAAACTTTGACTTTTTATGGGCAAACGAACGCAAATCCATTCAAACTTTTATGGTTGTTGCTGTTGTTTGGGGGGACTTTAAAGCGCTACACGTTCTGTGTTTATCAAGCTGTGGGGACAATAAATGCAGACGTCGCGCCGACGAAACTCAGACAGTTCAAATGTCCTGGCACAATTTCCACACGGAGGCAGCAGGCATCGCGTTGGCACTGTGTGCTCCTTCGCTGTCAAGTCAGCAACACTTTCCACCGATGTCGTTTCGGTTCGCATTTTATTGCTCCTGCTGGATGCACTAAAAGAAACCTTGAATAGGATTATTCTACAAGAGAAAATAATTAAGAATTGGGACTACTAAAATGTACCACAAATATTCAAGAGTGTACTCTTGTTTGCTAAATATTTAAGGCACCTAATCTCACTTGAGTCTCGGACCAAACATGGCTTTAATAATTGACGGCATGCCATGCCAGAGCCGGACCAGGACAATGGCAGGATATTAGCTAATGCCACAAATGCATCCTGGCATTCTGACATCCTGGCATCCGGGCAACTGCCAGCGGAGCGACAATTTCATGCCAGCTGCGCACACACACACACACAGAGCCAACAAAATGCGCAACAATAACAATTAAAATTGGAAACTGCAGCAGCCATCCATAGTGTGCCAGGGGAGAGTAAAGAGCGGCAGAGAGACATGCTGCTGCAGAGTGGTTCAACCTTGGCCTCACAACACGCCCCTGCAGTAACCCCTGCAACCACTCCAATTTCATCCCCTCCTCGAAGTCCTCAACTTCGCTTTGGAGACCATAATTATCCAATTGAACAATAAACAGATGCCTGCCGGGCTTGAGTCAATAGACAATGGCCACGGACGAGAGAGAGACACTGAGCCTGCCCAGCTGGCAACCTTTCAAACGGTCGCCTCCACTGGCTGAATGGTGAGGCTTCTGCTGCAGTTGTGGCAGCAACTGATGTTGCATTTGCTGTTTTGTGGTTTCTGTGGCATTCGTCGAAAGGTTGTGTGCCACTTGTGTCCGCCGGCCACCGAGAGTGATGAGTTGCAGAAACAGTGATAGCTTTTACGACTTTTAATTGAGTTGAATATATAAGGAATATGACAAAAGATCAAGTATTAAGTCAAAGGATTATGGTTTAATATGCTTAAACAGTGATAGCTTTTACGACTTTTAATTGAGTTGAATATATAAGGAATATGCCAGAAGATCAAGTATTAAGTCAAAGGATTATGGTTTAATATGCTTTAAATTTTAAAATAAATTTAAATGTAAGCTTAACCTATTGTGTTGCTTTCAATAATCCTCCATCAGCAGGTAGTTATTTTGAGTAATTAAAACTGATTACAGTCTACATTCTCCTAGGCATAACAATTGCTGATTTAATATTTAATTTCATGGGCATTTCGAAACATAATCAATCTACTTATTACGGATTGAAAAATAACTAGTTTCATGCAAATTTAATTAAACCAAACAATTTTGGCCAATTAAAGCGGACGTGTTATGCAATATGTAATATGATATTCAAATCGCTTGGCATCTCTAATCCCAAAGGGCTGATGAACCCTCCTGAGCTGTAGTTATGGGAGACGAGGAGCTTCCTCCGGGCAACTCAAGTGTAATAATGTGCCAAAAACGTTTACCGAGCCCCACAGAGGATGGATGCGCCGGGAGCCGGACAATTGGCAAAAGGCAACTTGTGCGGTTGCTCCGGCTGAGTGGACACACGGGGGTCAGTGACTGACAGGGTCCTTTGTCTGGCCAAATGCTTATTTAATGAATATTTATTAACACACTAACTAATTACGGTTGCTGTTCTGTTTACTTTTAGCTTCGGCTCACAGGTGACTGACGACGACGACGTGGACGACAACGAGGATTGCCCAGCAATGTGCAGACGGTCGCTGGCTGGAATTGCTGGCAGGACACAGACCGCAAGGATCAATCCAATCAAGGAGCAGCAGTTGCAGCTGTGAATGCAACATTGGCCACTTTTTATACTTACCCACACGAAATGCGTTTTTGCAGCTCGGCCAACGGAGAGATAGCAGTTGATAGATGAACTAGTGCAAATGCCCTCCAACTGCAGCTTTTGATGCAAACTTAAGGCAGGGGCCCACAAATAGAACAAAGCATAAGCCAACTCGACTGATAGTTTAAACTGAAACGATACAACACCCACACACATACACACACTCTTGGCTACAGCAACTTTTTAATTATTGTTAAGAACACACTTTTGCAAAACAACAACAACAACAACTCGTCATATGCCAAATATGTGTTGCCCCAACTGAAGCTGAAAAAGAAGGAAACTAAATACCCATAGGAAGCTCAACACAAAACGAAACCCAAGCGAAACCCAGAAGGCTCAAGCGCGCGCTCATCACCAGGAGGTCATCGCATAAGCCATGGGCAACAAATGCTGCAGCAAGCGACAGGATCAGGAATTGGCACTGGCCTATCCCACGGGAGGCTACAAAAAATCCGACTACACCTTTGGCCAGACGCACATCAACAGCAGCGGCGCCGGCGGCAACATGGGCGGCGTTCTTGGCCAGAAGCACAACAATGGCGGGTCGCTGGACTCGCGCTATACGCCCGATCCTAATCATCGGGGTCCGCTGAAGATTGGCGGAAAGGGCGGCGTGGATATCATCAGGCCACGCACCACACCAAGTGAGTTTTCCGATTTATTATTATTATTATTTTAATTTAATTTTATTTTTTTGGGTAAACAACTGAACCGAAAAACCAAATTTAATATGAGTGTTATCATGCATAGGTAATTACAGTCGTATTTCGGTTAAAAGGGAGCATTTCGGGTCATGAAAATAATCGTTTGAATGGGAGATTAGCTTTTTGAATTTAATTTTTTTTTTTTTTTTTTTTTTTTGATTTTATTTTATTTTTGATTAAATTTTATTTTTGATTTGATATGACTTTTGATTTTATTTATATTTATATGAATTATGTTTTTTATTTGAATTATTTATTTACTTTTTATTTAATTTATTTACTTTTTATTTAATTTATTTACTTTTTAGTAAATTCATTTACTTTTTATTAAATTTATTTACTTTTTATTTAATTTATTTTTGATTTGATTTTATTTTGTTTTTCATTTGATTTTTTATTTTATTTTATTTTTAATTTGATTTAATTTTTGATCGGATTTTTTTTTAATTTTATTTTATGATTCGATTTTATTTTTGATTTAAATTATTAATTTATTTTTATTTAATTTATTTTAAATTTATTTTTGTTTTGATTTTATTTCATTTTTGATGTAATTATATTTTATTTGTGATTTTATTTTATTATTGATTTTATTTAATTTTTTAATTTGATTTTTTTTATTAATTTTTTTAAATTTGATTTTTTAAAATTTGATTTTATTATTGATTTTTTTTTTTTAATTTGATTTTATTATTGATTTTTTAAATTTGATTTTATTAATAATTTTTTTTTTAATTTGATCTGAATTAAATATATTCATATAAATATGGATTTAAGTTATTTGATTTGATTTTCGTTGAGCTTTTTTGTTCTTTTCTATTGATTTCTTTTATAAACGATTTAAAATAAATTTCGTTTATTCGATTTGTATTGATTTCATTTATGTGTTTATATATATATTATTTAATTTGATTTTAATTGAATCCCTACGCTGGGTTCTAGTCATAATAATAATCGGATTACCTTTTAAACTTGGAATAACTTTCCTATGGAACAAAATCGTATTCATTCTTAAATCTTTTGCATTATTGAAAATGTCCCTAGCCAAGTGCATCTTTTTTAATTAAGGAGCGTAATTAACTAGGTAAAAGTTAACCACGTCAATTATATTTATGCCACACAACATTTTAATTAAGGAAGTTCAAGTGGGCGAAGTTTGCCTGTATATATGCGTATTATCATGCATTAGTAATTACCTGGTGGCTGTTATCCCCGTGGGCCGCGGGAGGAGTGATAATTTCAGCTTTTAATTAGCAATTTGACTTTTTGCCCGCCGCAGAGATTGGCTTTTACCCGCTGGTTGGCCTTATGTTTGCATAATATGACGGCGCCAGCGCCAGGCAACCCGCCCAAACTAACTAACCCAGCAACTACCTGTACTGTACACCTACTGCCATAATTAGAGTTTGTCTCCCAGGAGGTTCAGAGGTGGAGTCAAGTCATTTGCTGCCAGGCACGGTGGTGGCGGTGGCAACGCAATTCTCATATTTGCACTGGTAATACGACTACAGTCGTTAACCTTGACCAGTTCTCGTGGCCCGGAAAAGGGTATCAAAGTGGCAAGGTGGTGTTGGATTAATGCCACCTTAGCGGGGAAATTGCATACGATATGGCACGACATTGTGTTGGCATATACGAGACCCCAAGGAGTTGTGTAAGGAGTTGTTGCAGCTGCGTAACAGTTTAATAAGCTGGCAAAGGGGTGCTATGTTTGCCACGAGCAAATTGCAGGAAGGACATTTATTTCTATTTAAAGGGAAATGTAAGCTTAGCTCACGAAAGGTTTTATTTAGAACTAAATGTTATTTAAGTTTCTTAAAGCTACTTTTAAACGAAAAGATATATCTTCTGTGTAGATTAGTCTTCCGTAAGGTTATTTTTTAAACGGCAACCTTTAGCAGTCATAACTTTGAAACCACAAAGGCGGGAACCAATCCCCTAGTTTTCCCATGGCATAAATGCCACCATTCGTTTCATTCCAAGTAGCATTGAAGTGGACTGCGGACGGCTTGTGAATTATTTTGATGTGACCTGTCACCGCCAGCTGGGAATGCAAAACCTCGCAGCCGGCAGCCGATTAACTGCTGCTGCTGCCATTTCTATCCATGACATGACGGCTACACAGTACTAGGGGCTTATATAGGCCCCTAAAGCCGCTTAGGTCGTGTAAACCCATCAAGAGGTTGAGTGCTTGGCCAGTGATTTGTGCTGCCTTTGTCAGCACGAAAGCCTGATGAAAAGGGGCGTGGCCAGCCCCAAGCCAGTTGGGTTAAAGCTAATGGAGGGCAGAGCAGAGAGCGGCCAAGGCAACTGGCAAGCCGCTGGACAGCAGTTTATTTATGCGTTGCCTCGCTCGTTGTGGGCTAAATCAATTAGCCAAATGCAAGTCAGTGCCAAAAATCGCGGCTTGGCAACGACGGGACACACTTACCAAACACGAAATGAAATTGTTATGTTTATGGCAGCGCTCTCCCCGAAAATGTATGCTATGTATGCCATCCAATTTGCATTTGGCAAGCATCTCCACCCCGCCATACTTGAACTCATTAAACTCTAATTAAGTTTTAAGGCAATTTGGTTAGGCAAATAGGAAAAAAAATATCTGGGAGAAAAAAAATGTGAATTTCCCAATTTGTCACCATAAATTGCAATTTAAGGACGCAAATCAAATTTGCCCAGCCAGACGAAAATTTTTGCCACTAACTAGACACCTCTTCACCCTGCCTTTGCTGTAGCTGGCGTTCCCGGAGTGATGCCCAAGCGCGTCGTGGTGGCCCTCTACGACTACAAGTCCCGCGATGAGTCCGATCTGAGCTTCATGAAGGGCGACCGCATGGAGGTCATCGACGACACCGAGTCCGATTGGTGGCGCGTCGTGAATCTGAGCACCCGCCAGGAGGGCCTCATCCCGCTCAACTTTGTGGCCGAGGAGCGCAGCGTCAACAGTGAGGAGTAAGTGTTTGATTTTCACAGAGACAGCAGTGGAGTTTCGTGATGATTTATATGGCTTTTAAAAGTAAAAAACTTAAATTTTACTGCAACTCTTTGGTATACCTAATTTGTCCATCCTTTTAGTTCAATTTGTAATAATTTTTTGGTAGTAATTTTTATTTTACCCATAACTCTTATTTGCTATCCCTGAAAAAATCTCTATTTTCTTCATAAATTCAATCAGAAACACAAATCTCTGCTGAGCTCTTTTATATATAACACATTTATTTAATTTATTTATTGAAATATTAATATAAACATCTAATATCTATCACCAACCAGCTGGTTCTTTGAGAACGTGCTGCGCAAGGAGGCGGATAAACTTCTGCTGGCCGAGGAAAATCCACGTGGCACCTTCCTCGTTCGACCCTCGGAGCACAATCCCGATGGCTACTCGCTGTCGGTGAAGGATTGGGAAGATGGACGTGGATATCACGTGAAGCACTATCGCATTAAGCCGCTGGATAATGGTGGCTACTACATAGCCACCAATCAGACTTTCCCCTCGCTCCAGGCCCTGGTCATGGCATATAGCAGTAAGTATATACCCACCACGCGAGGAGACAATGAAGTGGAAAAATCCATTTATTAATTTTCTTATCGCCACAGAAAACGCTCTTGGCCTGTGCCACATACTATCGCGTCCCTGCCCCAAACCCCAGCCCCAGATGTGGGACCTGGGCCCGGAGCTGCGCGACAAGTATGAGATACCGCGCTCCGAAATTCAGCTGCTGCGCAAACTGGGACGCGGCAACTTTGGCGAGGTCTTCTACGGCAAGTGGCGCAACAGCATCGATGTGGCGGTGAAGACCCTACGCGAGGGCACCATGTCGACGGCTGCGTTCCTTCAGGAGGCGGCCATCATGAAGAAGTTCCGCCACAATCGCCTGGTTGCCCTCTATGCGGTTTGCTCGCAGGTTAGTGAAGCATTAAATTCCATTGGCTCAACCTTTATTAATTCTTTAATGATTCTTCTTTTACAGGAGGAGCCCATCTACATTGTGCAGGAGTACATGTCGAAGGGCAGTCTGCTGGACTTTTTACGCGAGGGCGACGGACGGTACTTGCACTTTGAGGATCTCATCTATATCGCCACCCAGGTGGCCAGCGGCATGGAGTATCTAGAGTCCAAGCTGCTCATCCATCGCGATCTGGCGGCACGCAACGTACTGATTGCCGACAACAATGTGGCTAAGATTTGTGATTTTGGACTGGCGCGCGTTATTGCCGACGACGAGTACTGTCCCAAGCAGGGCTCACGGTTTCCGGTCAAGTGGACGGCGCCCGAGGCGATCATCTACGGCAAGTTCTCGATCAAGTCGGACGTCTGGTCGTATGGCATCCTGCTGATGGAGCTGTTTACGTACGGACAAGTGCCCTATCCGGGCATGCACAGTCGGGAGGTGATCGAGAATATCGAACGGGGTTTCCGCATGCCGAAACCGACGAATCACTACTTCCCGGACAACATCTACCAGCTGCTGCTCCAGTGCTGGGATGCCGTGCCCGACAAGAGGCCGACGTTCGAGTTCTTGAACCACTACTTCGAGTCGTTCTCGGTCACGTCCGAGGTGCCGTACCGAGAGGTGCAAGACTAAGCAGCCGAGTCCAGAGCCTAATCACACACATCACCTACACACTCACACGCATACACACACGTACGACATATATATATAGTATATAAAGTTATACATATATATTATACATTTATATGCATATTTACTATAATTCTTAAGACTTTTTAATGGCATACCAACCACACACACACACACACCCATGAACTCTATATGTATGGTATATATGTATGTGTTTAAGCGTATCTTAACAGTTCTCTGAATCAAGCAACAAAAACCAGAAAAAAAGAAAGAAAACGAAACACGAAAATCGGAAAGAACTAAATTTTATATTTTACACGCAAAACTATTTTATAATTTATATATATATATATACCTAACTGTATGTACTATGAAAATAGAAAGTATTTAACTAGTTTTGTAAGCTTACGGGGTCGAGAGATCGATGATAACGATGATACTGATGTCGAGATGATGATGATACCAAGAAGTCAAGTAGGAAGGAAATTGATGGCAACTCTATTGAATTTCAAATCGAATACAGCTATACAATTTAAACGCTACTTTAATCGGTGCTTAGGTTTTTTTGTATAAACAATCCAATCCAATCTACAAACTAGACAACTCTTTGATCTAAGCCTCCTCCCTCTGCTGAATAGTTTCTTCTTCTGATACTTTCCACACGAAACAAACAAACAAAAACAGACACACACACGAGACGACTATCTTACTAACTAAGCCAAGTATTATTTAAATCAATCCGAATCCGAATCAAACATTATTGTATTTCAAATTGTTGCTAATGAGAAACTCTCCAATGATGGCATTTACTTATAAGGTGGCATCGCGCCCACGCCTCGTCTTCTACTTCCATGTCCAGAAATCTAGATGGAAATATGAAAATTCATTTGCGAAATTGCATTTTGTACAAATCATTGAAAACACACAAAAGAAGAGACAGCATTTCACGAACCAATGAATGTCTATAGTACACTTAAGTTTATGCCAAAATTATTGTTTATACCTTATACTTTGTTCGTATACTTAAGCACAACAAGCACACACACACACAATTGGGCACTGTCCATGTAGTCTAGATATATCTCTATTGATGTACAACCTGCAGCGTTGGCCCGCATTTAGTTCCTCTCCACACCTGCTGTTCCTTGCGCGTGCAGCCCAAATCAATAGCCCGACTCAAGCCATATGGATAACTGCTATCTCCAGGGTTTCAAATGCTAAATATCACACTCAAATCAACTCTCACACACACTCACCTATCTAAGCTTCACACGAGACATCGATTGAGAGGAGACTTTATTTAATTTATTTGATTTTTGTTATAGTTTTAGTTTGTCGTTCATCGATATAGTACATATAGCATATGCATATATATATATATATTGTGTTGGCCATTGTGTGCACATTCTGTAGCATAAAACCAAAGTTTAGCATTTCGTATTGAGATCTATGTATTTGTAAAGAACATTTACACAGCGACACACACACCACACACAGAGAGATCAGTTTATATAGGATAACCAGGCTTACACTAAAACGAGGACAACAAACCCAATCATTGTATGAAATTGCATTCAACGTAACGAAATCATTGCAAATAATTAATTAAAATGATATTGTTATAATTCACAGGCAAAACTGAAATTGTTTAGCGTAGTTGATGAATTTTTTGTATATAAACTTGACATATAACGTGTAGAAATAAACGACAAATTAAATTGAATGATAATACCAAGCGAATTCTGCAAATCCAGCAATGGGCATCTGGCGGCGCAGGCGGCACGCGAGGCATTTAACCAACCACAAAACAAGAAGAACGTAAATTTCCACAAAACTTTTTATACAAACTGCGGCAATCAAATTGAAAGATTTACAAAATTTTTCAGCCTTTGCCTGGGTAGGCGTGTTGCATGCGCCGCCACAGATCCTATATTGTTGCTTGAGATAACATTGAATAAACAACAACAACAACATGATGGACAACAATGTCCGATGAGTAATTATAGTTATAAACAATGGAAAGGAGATTGTCATGTAATACGGATGGATAATGGTAATAATTCACAGATTCACGAAAGCAAATATGAATGGAAACTGAATTTAGCTGATGTAAAATGATAGAAATGTGTCCGTTAAGTCGGTTAGGTGTGTAATGCATAATACAAATAATAATGATAATAACTAATAAAATTGAAAAATATGTAATAACTAAATACCTGGTTTTAATTTGGGTTTTTAAGGGATTTCTAAATTTATTAGCAAATAATAAAAGGCCATGTTGGGTTAAAATAACTTTTGGAACTTAAAAAGATAGTAAAACGACAAAACTGTCGCAGAATGATTGTAAACCTACACTAGTCGGCATAATTATTTTGACAAATGTGAATTTTTCATTAAAAGAATTCGTTTTTTTTAACTTTTTGCATAAAACTGATATAAACTTTAAAAACACTTAAATAATATTCCTTCATTGCAACCTAAAAAGATAAAAACAAATTGATAAATTATTATGATTTCATGTAGTGGCATAAGTATTTTGACAAGTACTTAGAGGTTAAAAAAAAACAAGTATAAAATGAAAGGTAATGTAATAATAAGGTAAAAGTTCAATTTTTTATCCTCTAGTCGCATTAATAAATTTTTGAAAGCTTCTCGGCACTAAATTTTTAAAATTTTGAGGATCTCTGAGGATACATATTTCTTATCGAAGGGAAATGGACTCAAATGTGGTTTCTTCGGGTTTTTTTTTTTCAACGAATATTTTATTTTGTTTTAAAAGAGGCTGAGATGATTTTAATAATATTTAAGTCTAGTCTATATTGGAACAGCCATAGAAAAGATATTAGCAGGCGAGCGTTGACTGAAGATTCGCTTAATGATCGCAAACATACTCGGAAAAGAGCGTTAAGTGAGCGAAAAGCGAGCGAAAAATTTGAAAATGTGCCAATTTAGGTCACAAAACTAATATGTTACCACCAATGCTCTATGGTACTTTATTTTAAGGCGCAATTTTTTGATGTCATAATATAATATATAATTTCAAATTATTTCAAATTAATATAATTATTTCAAATAACTTACCCAACTCTTTTATAAATTCAAACAATATTTAAAATCCATAGTTTTTTGTTTTTCGCTTTTTTGGATACCAAAAAAGTTGAATGAAATTTTGTATTTTATTGTTCCTTTTCGGGTTTAATACATGTATGTATATAGAATAATGAAATCGTTTTCGTTTAAAAATTGTTCAAAGGCAAAATTGTACATAATATGTAATTCGTTATGTTTTGTCTTGTATATGTATATATAATTAATGCAATAACTCGATTTAAATCCATGAAGTGCGCTAAAAAGTAAACGTTTCTGTGTTTTGCAAATGCACTTTGAGAGGACCGATTCTAATTCGATTTAGGTTAATTTTGCTTTATCCTTTTTGGGGGCTGGTGACTACTGACAAATGGATTAATGTATTCATTTTGTATTCGCTACTGCGACAGAGAAGGTCCTGCGAGATGTGTATATCCTATATGGGCGAATATATATGTATGTAGGGGATATATAACATATCCGCCTTGCATTTTGGGGTAAAACAGTTCTGTATAGTTTGGGCATATTCGCTATTTTTGTTTATTGTATGTACAATAAATTCGTATTACTCTTATTTATTGTTTGGCATTCGTATTTGGACCTACGAACGTTGCTCACTAACGGATTTGATCGTAAGGCTCCATATGGCAACCACTGGTCTCGGCCACAGTCGTCCGAGGGCTAGTTAATCGAACAAATCGGCTAGTATCCTGGGCAAACTCTAGTTGAAACAGAATAACAATTGAAGTAACTAGGAATCCGGGGTGTACTCTGCAATTTTTATCATCACATTTTATACACATGGTAATATTTCAAGTTATCAATATCAATATCGAATATCAATACCAAGACTTTAAAGTATTTTTACTTATGTAAGTGCGGACAACATTTTCTCTAATGTACATCGAGGCATAGCCGATCACGTTTTTATACATTCATATGCAAGAGCTAAGTATACAGCAATATATATTTAGAGTCATCCATAATTAACAGGGCAAACATCTTAAGGCTAAACATTTACAAAACGCTTCCATCAACTGTTCAAGGATGTCTATTATCTGCCCAAAGTAGGCCTGTATTCTAACCAGGTTAATCCATTTTAAAATGCTTTCATCAACTGTTCAATATGATTTATATAAATACTATGCGCCGGGCCCGTTTTCTTAATGCAGTTAATGTTCTTTGGTGTGATTAAAATAAATAAGAAATATGATGAATAATAATTAAACTTGACCTTGCCTTCGCTAAACCGTATAAAATAACTAAAAACATTCTAATTTTATTATTTTTTCAAAAATAAATTTATATCGAATGTTTCCTTCTTGATAATACTTTAACTGACTTTTAAGAAAACGGACGTTTTTGGAGTTACGAAAAAACAACCAAAAATAACAGAAACCTATGTTCATCTCAGTTTTTAGGTGTGAAAATACAAAACCAAACCAACCATTTTTGACTATATCGAATTTTTGAATTCAAGATTCTCAAAACTGGTTGGTTTTAGAATTTTCACCTGAGCGGCCATTGATTTAATTATGATATTTTGAATTATTAACTTGCGGAGTATTTACGATATTTCGATAACTGTCTAAATGTTATGTGCGAAGTTTTTTAGAGATTTTATTTTTTATTCATTTTGTATTTATCTTTTTCAATTGACAGGCTTACCTGTAATTTATATGTATATGCTGATTTTTTTTATATATTTATATATATACTGTGGTAAATTGCACCTTGCTAAGTCCTACGTATTATCTTTAGAATTGCATCCTCTGGTCGTAAAGCTACAAATATTAAACTCTATTTCTCGCCTCGTATGAAACTAGTCTAGGTTTGTATTTTCGTACCTATATGACCTCAGAATCCCAATATTATTAGTAATGGGGGCCTTCTTCCGGCGAACACATTCGAATCGCACTTATCGGTGTTATGAACTACATTTTTTTGATTCTCTTGAATCGTTGTTTCCGTTGGTTTTTATTTATGTAATTAAATGTTCTGCACAAACACTTGAATTCTATGGCTTATTAAGGGGTATCAATACGAGCAATTGGAAATAAGTAAAGAAACAAAATATTCCTGAAAGTGTTTGTGTTTCTAAGACTTTTATTAAGCTTTTATGATTTGGTACACATTAATTTATTATAAATAAAAAAAAGGACCGAAGAATACACTACAAAATGTGTAATAAACTAACAAAAATACTGCTGTTGGTTTCTTAGGGTTTTATAGTGCTAAATTTTAGCCTTGATACCCTGTAAGATACGTTCGAAGAATATACCGAGTATTTAGGCTTTTAGGTTGCAGTTTAAAATAATTAAGAACCCTTATAAAGCATTCTTTTGCTTTGTTTCTTAAGGTTTTTAAATTGAAAATTCTAAGCTTTGATACCCCGCAATTTCCTTTAGCTTTGTGCAGAGCATTTTCAATTCGACAAGGCCGAATCAATGTGATGAACTGAAGCGGATTTACATGGCGGATGAGATCTGCTGTCCCTGCTGATGCAGTTGTTGTTGCATTTGCTGAGGCGCTTGCTGCTGCTGCTGCGGCGGTTGTTGCTGTTGCTGCGGTTGTTGTTGCTGCTGTTGAATTTGCTGTTGCGGCTGCTGCTGATATTGTTGCTGGTACGGCTGCTGCTGATATTGCTGCTGTTGCGGTGCTAGCTGCAACGGTGGCGGTGTATTGCCAATCGCTGCCGCTGCTGCTGCCGCATTCTGCTGCGTTGTGGCCTCGTTGGTCTTCAGGAAATACGTTATCAAATCGATGGGCAGCGGGAACACAATCGTCGAGTTCTTCTCCGCGGATATGGTGTTGAGTGTCTGTGGAAAATCATGAATATTTAATATGTCAAGTTCATGATAAATTCATAAAGAGTAATGGTAAACTGTCCCCACTATGTGATATATATATTTTCTACTGCATGCACTTACACCATCCTTATCCTCTACTAAAACTTTTCCTGGAAAAGAATTAATGGCTATGTCAGTGACCTACCTGCAGGTAACGCAGCTGGAGGGCCGCCGGCGAATCGCCAATCACCTCCGACGCCTCGCGTAGTGCTCGAGATGCCTTCTGCTCTCCTTCGGCGGCGATGACTTTGGCTCGGGCTTCACGGGCGGCCTCTGCCTCGGCGGCCATAGCGCGTTGCAGTTGCACGGGCAGGCGCACGTCCTTGCTGTTCGGTCGATGGAGAAAATGAGATTAGCCAGGGGGAGGTTGGGATGAACGGGCAGATAGCGGAAATACCCGTAATTCGAAGCTAACACCATTTCTATTCTCACAAAATGCTCACTCACTGAGAGAAAATAACTATACATCAGTGGAGAGTGAAGTTTAAGAATTTTGTCTTGGAGAAAAAACTTAAAAATCATCTTGGGTCCCCTTATTTTGATAAAATTAAATTGAATCTTACCAAATAAGTATGTATTTTTTAACAAATTTACATTTAGGAATTAACTACTTCTTTCTAGCTAGAACCCGTTGAGAATTATAGTAAAATATAGGCGATATTTGAGCTGTGTTAAAAACTAACGGTTTCTGATGACTTCTTGTCTCTAACTAGATCTTTTATTTTCTTTTTCCCTTTATTAAATATTTTAACCAGCACATTTCTTCCAGTGTCCTTGGCAATTTCCATATTAAATTGTCTGCCATCAGACCGAAATGTGCGGAGCGACTGCTAATGTGCCTCGCAGCTCGGCGTAATGGCGCATCTTTAATTCGGCCGTCTCGCGGTCTCAGCCAGTATTTTTCACAGCCAACCAAGCATGGGGTTTAATTTATCAAAAAATATACAAAAGCCCTATTTATCTAAAATTTAAACGGAATAATATATGGCGCACAATTTCTCACATCATTTTATTGGCCATTTAAGGAAGTTGTTAAGCTTCTGATCAATTTTCATAACACAACCCAGGGAGCCAGGGCAATAATGCCAACGAAATGAAGAAAGGCAGATGCAGTAATGAAAAATTCAACAACTGCCATAAAATGAAACAGGCCAAGTTTGTGAGGGTTGTTGTGGGGAAATGGGAGTTGGTAAAAAGGTAGTAACAGCAGCAGCCGCCGCAGCAGCATAACCACAACAACAACCGTCAACGCGTCAAGTTGTTGCAGCTGTTTTAACATGGCCAACAGCAGCCGCTGCTACCAGCCGCCATATTTGAGGGCCACGCGGAAAAAACAGAGGCTTTAAACCAGGCTTGGTTTGAATTTTGAAGTTATTAAATAAGGAAATAACTCTATTTCACCCAAAAGAAATAATAGATTTATGCCTTGATTTGGTATTGTAAACTATAGAAATTTCATTAAGAATACCTCAAATCAACCATCATAAAGCTCCCTCTAATTGTTTCCCGTGCACATGTAAGCATTTGACGTACCAACGTCACACTTGGCGCAGCGAAACTGAAGCTGACAAAGTAGTAGCCACTTGCCCCCTGTGAGCGGCATATAATAAATTACAACAACGGGGCCCCGCTCGGTGACAGGACAGACAAAGAACAGCAGCCCACTCCCACATACACCCACACTTCTGGCCATCATCCAGCGTTATTGTTATTGTTGTGATAAATGCCCAGGAAAAATGGTAGAACAAATAGGCGACAGCCAACTCTACTGATGTGGCTGGCCCTCCTTGTCGCGGCTATGACAATGTTTGCGGGGCCACCGTTCTGGGAGCAGCCAATTTAGATGTTACATAAGCTGGCAAAAACTCAAGTCTCTGGTGGGTTTAGTCAGCAGAAAACAGGGGAGAGGATACCTGCTGGTTGGTTTGTCATAACGCAATTAGAAACTTTGGCAACTGGCGATGAATACTTGATTTTTCACCTGTACACCTTTGAGGTAAATGGAATTTGAAAGGATTTTACAGTGCCAAAAGTTAAATAAATAAGTTGGCAACAAATTTAGTCTCGGGAGAAAAGTGTTGGCAGGAATGGGAATAAAGGGTACTTTGGATTTTTAGTAAATATGGTTCTTTAAGCAAAGAATTTAGTGAAAAGTTTTTAGGATACTCTATTTAAATATATCTTTAAAAACAAACAAATATTAATCAGAAACCAAATTCACCATCAGCTAAATCTGAGATTCCCTAAACAGATTTTCACTCTCCTAAAACCAGGCTTAAAATACAAACTCCTTGAACCTAATCCAAGCCCTTACAGAAATCACATCGTAAGCAGCCGTAAAGCCAGAGCTCTCAGCATCCTTTAGAGCATATCATCAACTTCGACTGTAGTCGAGGCAAACCGTTTATAAAATTACTTTTATAGCTTGACATAGAAAGTTTTCCAGGTTGCCACTGCAACTGAGTGTGCTGCAGAGGGGGTTAAAAAAGCTGTGCTACTTACATTTCAACACGTTCAACTTTGATGCCCCAGGCATCGGTGGCTTCGTCGAGTTGAACCTGTTTATGATTGGACGCCAGGTGGTTGAGGTGTAGGTGAATGTGGATACGTTGGTTGGTAGTTGTTCAGTCGGTGGGTGGATGAGCCGTGTGAGAAATAGCAGTAAAAATACATTAGTTTTTGTTTACACGCGTTTTTCAGGTCGTTAACAGTTTTGTTTTTCGGTTTTCTGCTTTTATTTTCCCCCCTAGCTCCATGTGGCCACATTGTGTTTGTGGGTCGTGCAGCATCCTTGAAATGAGAAACTAAAAATGCAGCACTCGGAGGAGCGACGGAGCGAAGCCTCGGCAACTTGGCATTTTTCACATGTGCGCTTCGACGTGCTACCACCACCGCCGCCGCCTGATGCTGCTCGAGATTTTCGCCTGATTTTGAACTATTTTTCATATGGCATGAAGAATAAATAAATAAAACGATGCCGTTGCCAGGCATGCCTTTAGAATTTGGGTTAAGTTGGCAGCTGCTAAGATATGCGGTTCGCAACTTCTTCTACTCCTCCTCCCCGGCTGCCTATTTTCAATTTTGTGCAATGAAAAAGCACTTTGGCTCCGAGATTATTCTCATGCCGGGCACGAAGCTCGCTGTCTTTGGCAGCTGCTAAATTTCGCAATTAATATTTTCCAGCCTCTGGAGGAGTTTCACCGCAAAACTTTAAGGTTTATGCTGCATAATTAGGAGCAGCGACTTGAATGTCATCTGTCAGCAGAAGGAACTGGCAAAGTAGCTGCCTGGCTGCATTCATTTTCCATGCAGTTTGTGCACTGCGAGAGGGATCTTATAAACTCTAAAAGGGAGTTTGAAATGTATTTTTAGGTGGGAAATTACTACGGTTTTACTTTGACAGAAATACATGTCATTCTTATATTTTAGGACTTTTCGTCTTGGAAAACTCCTTGAAATTGTTAATCTCGCAATAGGAAAAATTCTAAATAAATATTTATAGCTCCACCTCGTTTTCTGATAACTTTTAAAAAACATTTAATGTCTGAAATCAGGAAGGATCGCAGGATCTTTTAGAAGTTTAAATTTTAGAATATTTCATCAGAAAACAATTGGCATTTATCTTTAAAAAAACATTAGGAATATTGGCTCTTGAAGCTGGGAAAGGCCAAAGGAGACCTTACAAAGCTTTGTACTTCATTTTCCCAACCAATTCCCCTTAACAAATTAATTTCCCAGTGTACATTTCTATTGTGTGTGTGGCAAGGCAACTAAGTAAATTAGAGGAAAAGCAGCTCGATGGAGTCACTGGAGCCGGAGCTGGAGCTCCTTGTCCCAGGCCGGGGCCAACTGGCAACTGGCAACTACTGTCAACTGGTTTGAACTCACCTGCATTGTGCCGGAAATCGTCATACGCTCGCTGAGTATCTCATGCAAATGCCGAGTTCCCATTGTGTTTCGTAGAGTAGTCTGTGCCAGTAGTCTGGTCGAATGGTGGGCATTCTCCACGTTCGCTATAGAGACCGTTGCATTTGATACGCGATAGTAAACCACTGCATCCACCGAAACCGTAACGCTATCCTTTGTGAGAACCTACAAGATGCAGTGGGGTTTTTTTTTTTTTTGGTTTTTGGGGACACTTTGCTTGCTTTCTCTATTGTTCCTGCTATTGTTGTAGTTGGTCTGTAGTTATTTTTGTACTATATGTTTTATATAAATTCGCTTGTTATTGTTGCCGACAAAACGAATACAGACGTAAACAGAGATAGAGAGAGAGATGTGCGTATATACAGATAGACGCGCATTGAAAAATTTGCAATTCGTACACGAGTATATATACACATGTGGGTGGCACTATGGCACTATGGTGATAAGCTAAACATTTGTATCTGTATCTGTATCTGTATCGGTGGCCGTGCTGTGGCAGTGCTGTGCTGTGCACTTCGTAGCCAAGAGATAGTTGGAGAGAGAGGGTATAATGCGAATGCACTTGACTTGAACGGCGTTTGCTCGCTGCTCGCTGGCCTCTTGGCCGGGTCGGGTCGCTATTCTCTAATAGAACTAAGTGCAGGGAGTGCAAAAACTTTTGCCTCAGACCTCGGGACAGGAAGACAGACACACACACACACACACAAAGGCCGGGCTTCTTCCATTTTGATTATTGCATCTGTGACTGTGACTGTGCGTTTTAGCATTTGCATTTGCATTTGAATTTTTAGCTCTGGCTTTCGCGTGTGTGTTGTGCACATCCCAAAGTCCCAAAGTCTTTTCGCATTGTTTTGCATTCAGCGAACTTTATCCGGGGGAGACAGCGAGAGTTATATCCCAACCAGCAATTTGGGCTCGAGAGGGATCCGATCATCTGCGCTAAGGCGATTCGTGGAGCATAACCCAAGAGCTTGGGGGTTACAGTGTATAAGTTATAGTACAGATTGGGAGAGAGAGATAGATACAGAGCGAGTGGGGGCACAAATTATACAAGTACACGTGTAACGAACACAAATTATAAGCCGAAAAAGTAGGAAACTCAAGAGCGAATCAAACCAAACAACCAAAAGGCATTAAATCGTTTGTAGGAGATGTCTTATATATATATAAATCCTAGCAAGTTGTGGGGTGGCGGGTTAGGGCAGTGGTAGAGAGACAGATGTGACGGGGTCGTGGGCGGTTTATGTACACGTTCGGGCTCGGGATTATTCCCATCCACACCGTAAGTTTAGTGGGCCTGCCCCAATGGTGTCAGCAGCCTCGGTCCATGATGTTGCCCAAATCGAATTCTCAAATTTTTATTTTATTTTTCCTTTCTCCTTTGCCTTGGCCACAGGCCCTGCTCGCATAAGTTGGCTTAACTTATGCCAAAACTATCCCGCACAAGTGCATATATACATACATTGGCCAGAAAGTTGCTCCCTCGCTTTGCGCTTTATGACCTGCCCAAACATTGTTCGGCGCAGTCTAGACCGCTTTTTACGGGCCCTACAAAAGCGCTGGAGCTCTGTGGTGTCAATGTTGTTTAGTGTCATCGTTTCCACTCGGCCAGTTTCGAGGGTTTTACCATCATCTCTGCCTCTATGTGGGCGAACTTTTCGGAGGCATAGCAAATCTCTAGCAGTTTAGCATGAGAATCAACTGAAATGTGAGCAGCAACTGGAGGAGCTGGCACAGAAGTGTCTCTGTAAATCCAGTTATTTAAATTTATATAGTAAAAATCTTGTCCGGGGTTTCTCTGTTTATTTATAATAATTGTAAGAGGTACTTGATAAGCGTAGTTATTTTAATAGGAGTATATTTTTTAAATCCACTCAGGATTGAGTAACTAACTAAGTTATATTCAGCAAAGGGAGTCTATCTTATTTTATATTTTTATATTCAAGAAGACTGAAAAGTTATCTGTTAACTTAGCTACTAATTAACAAAGAATTTAAAATTTTAAAATTTCTTCAACCGCACCACAGTGCGTATACTTGATATTTTTAATCATAAGACCAAAAGTAAGCTAAATTTTGTTTTCTACTTTTTGGTTTCTACTTTTCCAAGTGTTTCTTGTGCTGCTAATAAAGTATTAACCTCTTTTGCTGTGCCTTAGCTGGCACTAAAACCATAAAGCTGCTGTTTATATTCCGGGCCAACAGTGCGTATGATTACTTTTTAAGGGAAACCTTTGAGCCGTTGCGATTTGTGTGCCCTCCATTACGATGAATGATGGCTTTTGCTTGTTCAATTTAGCTAAAACAAATAATCGACAAATTCAATTGCATTGCATTGTGTGTGCTCTGCTCTATTGAAATGCATCATCAAGGACCTTCGCTCTGCATACCTTGGCATAATCATGCACGACTCGACGACTCACTTTATTATGAAAGCCGGGCGAACATGGACAGAGCCCTAAATCAATTTGGCTAGAACAATGGCTTATTATTTCCCCAACAATAGTTGCTAGGGCGGGGCGGTTTGTGGGTGGCAGTTGGGCGCTGGTTTTGTTCTGAGTATGTGTGTGTGTGCAGTGTGTAGTGAGTTGGGTCCTGGATAAGTCTTGCTTGTTCATTGCATTTTACAGTCTGAATCGAGGAAATACAGCATTGAATGAGCATGGCAACGGGTCAATAGAAACGTTGAGGAATCAATGATGAAATCATAGAAGTGGAAGGTGGAAGTGGAGCTGGAGGTGGCTGTGGTGGAGGTGGTGGTAAATGAAATGAAAATGAAAATGAAAATTCCAAACGATAGTTCATACACACTGCATATTTATACACTGTAACGCCTAAACTAATGAGTTTTCAATTAAACATAATTAGGTTACTTATTACAATTTGCACAGTTGATGCTGGGAATGTGTCAGCACTTGGGTCAACGATATTGGTTTCAACTGAAAATATCTTTGATTTGGTAGTTGGTATTTGGTATTTAGTATTTAGAGTGACAGAGAGAGAGAGGCAGAGAGACAGAGAAAGAGTCAGAGTAAGATTTATAGAGAGAGAGAGAGAGAGACAGAGTCTTTGTGGGGGGCCCTCACCCATCTGTTCTGGTTTGTCATGGTTTTTCACATCTCCGAAGCTATGGACTATATATCGTATCTATGGGGCAACTACTGATGCTGTGATGCTGGGACTAGCTATGGCTATAGCTCTAGCACTTGCTACTATACATCATTACAGTTATACGATAGTTACAATTACAGAGTTACGATTCTAACGCGATCGCCATTTTGGCTTTACTCGTTTTAGTCTAATGCTCTCGCTTTTAACTTGGCTTTATTCGGCCTGCATGCGTGCAGGAGTTGAGGTTGAGTTGAATTTTGTTACCACGTTTTAACAGCCTAAACCACGCAAAACACACATAGATGAACTCGACATGGGTTGCTTTTGCTCATTTCGTTTGCTCAGATCGGCACAGCGATATATGTGCATACATATTCGCCGTGGTGCGGATATATATATCGCATATATGCAATGTGCTTTCTTGCTAGCATTTCTTGCTTTTTTGTTTATTGAGGGGGAGTGCGTCCTTTTTGTCGCTCGTGCTCAAACAAATCAAATTGTAACGTTTAATTAGTTTAGTTAGTTGTACACAATACAATACAATAATTGTTGTTGTTCTTCTTTTTTTGGGGGTTGGTGGGGGGTGGTTTTTGGCGATATGTTTTTGTTTAACAAAAACTAAAAGCGTGTGTAAACTAAACGACAATGTTCGACGATGTTTGTGTTTGTATGTATTTCTGTGTGTGCTTTGAGTGAGTGTGTGTGACGGTGGTGTTTTATTGATTCTCTGAATTTTTATGCATTAGTTTTGGCTTTTGTTTCCGTTTTCCAGTACTTAAGTTAGACCAACATTGGGTAAACATTATCTGTTGCTAGTGTTTGTTTTCGTTTATGGTTTTGTTTTGTATTTTCTTTGGTTTTTCTTTTGGTTTTTCGTTAAAGACAGTTAGAAAGCTTTTTAGAATAGACATTTATGGAAATATATATTTAGCATGCTCTCAAAAATTATTTGAACGCTTAACCGAGGGGGGAGAGTGGGGGTTTTTTATATCAAATAAGTGCATTTCGGTATTTTCTATATATTTTTTTTTATATATATTTTATGTTGGTGTGAGGGTTTTTGCTTTGGTTTGTTGGTTTTTCTGTTTTTGGTTCCGGTTTCTTTTGTTTTATATATGGAAAAACAAACTGTTTTGCTAAACAAAACTTACATAGCTCAAAAACAAAATCAATATATATGTTGGTATATATATATATAGAGAGAGATAGAGACAGAGAGAGGTAGTACATATATATAAATAGAGTTATATATAGAGCGTGGGTTAGATAGAGAGTCAGATAGAGACAGAGACATAGAGATAGTTAGAGAGAGAGAGATAGAGAGACGGTGGGAGAGATCGGTTTTTGGTGGCTGCTTAGCAGGAGAGTGAGCAAGACAGTCATAGACAGCGAGAGAGAGAGATAGATAGATAGTCTGATTAAAAGTTAATTTTTGGTTTTTGGTAGCTTGTGTGGGATTTTTGGGGTGTGCATTGAAGGGAATTATCTCTTGGGGGTTCCACTTGCATTTCTGTTGCATACTTTTAAGCTACGCAAGACCTTGGGTTTTTTAAATTTTGATTGTGTGTGTGTGTGTGTATCTGTGTGAAGTTCTTGGTGGTGTGAGTGCTGCACCCTGTGTTCAGTGAACAAACATTTGACATTCATTTCTTCATCACAGATAGAGACAGACATGGAGTGACAGTGACATATAGAGAGAGATAAAGATAGAGAGAGACAGCGATAGAGGGGGTGAAGAAAAGGGAGGGCTGTGTGCGTGTGTGTCTGAGTGAGAGGGAGACAGAGAGCCAATGCGTAATGGTACAGTTCTTTAGTGGTTTTGCCCCGCCCCCGCCCACCAATTCGATATATACTTTATAATTTCCATATTTTTTTTATGTGATGCTCGGCTGAACACAGAGAGCGAGACAGATAGATAGATAGACAGAGAGAGTTAGAATTTTCAGTTGATATGCATTCTTTCACTTTTGCTTTGATATTTGACTGTTTTATTTTTTCTTATATTTTGGGTTTTTGTTTCATTTCTAATTGCAAGAGAGACAATCAGAGCTTTAACTATGCAAATTGTAATAACTGGAAGTTAATGTTCAAAAGACATCAAGAACTAAATACGATTACGATAACGATTACGATACGATATTCAAAATGAAATGCTCGATTCAACTCAAAAAACAATAACAAAAAAAAAAGGAAACCAAAGATGAAAGTGAAACGAAATGATGCGCCAAAAAATCGCATTTCGTATGCACTTAAAGGGAGATTTTGTTTGGGCGATAAATGTGTGTGTGTGTGGAGTCTGAGATTGTGTGTAGTTGCTGTGTGTGTGTGTGTGAATAATAACAACGTCAACGAGAAGATGACTGAGCGGGCTTTGCTTGTTTTTTTTTTTTGTTCATCCGAGGGCATTGCCGCAGTGGCCTTCATGCGATTTACACAAAAAACCGAACAAACTCAAATGGAACACGAAAATGCTGGCGGAATTCGCAGATATACAAGAAAAAAAGGACGAAAAAAACAGAGGAGAAAAATATATATTGAGGGGGTTTATACAGAAACTGAATAAAACTGTATTTTGGCTTTTCGGTTTGCTGTGTGTGTTGTGTGTTTGTATGAGTTTGCTCCACGTGACGTCAGCAAGATGGTGGGAAAAAAGGCTGGAAAGGCCAGCGAATTGAAATCGAACCATCGTTACACCATTACTTCTATCTTAAATTCACTTTTGCCATCGCTTTTCATTTCATATTTCATTTAAGTCTGCCAAGCGAACAATGAAATATGTTCAGGTAAAAATGAGAAATGTGGGGGGGTTTTGCGATAAAAGATCAGGTAAGCGAACTAAAGGCTTGTCCGGAGAAAATTCCCAAAAATAAATGGAGCGCGTATCTTGATGAGACTCCTGTATGTGTCTGAGTGTGCGTGAGTGTGGAAAGGTGAGGCTGGTGTGTGTATGTATGTGGGCTGCATCTGTGAGTAGTGGTTGAGTGCACACCAATGGCAATAATAATAAAAATCTGCAACATTGTTCAACTTTCAATACGACAACAAGTACCATACACAAAGTATTTAAAATATATGTATATAGAGTTTGTATATATGTATGTTTGATATATAGGATACAACAAAGTCTACCAACAACAACAACAACAACAACAACGAGAGGAGGAGTATAGAGAGAGCAATTGATTCAGAGTGTGTGTTATGATGTGAGTAATGCGTAGGAGAGAGTGTGAGTGCGGTTTAGTCGTAGGAACCGCTATTAAATAAACCAAAATGGAGCCTCTCAGAAATAATGGAGTTTCAAAATTAAATGGACTTCTGAGAGAGTAAATATTTTGGATTATAAAATTTGGATGCTGCTGCTTTTTCTTTTGTTGATTAAAAGTAATGTTTTGAAATTTTAAGTTATGTGGTTTTTCTTTTGGTAAATGATTAATTTTTTGTAATATTTCGTTGTTTTTTTCAAAACCCTGGATATTCGTTTAATTTTTCAAATTTTAATATATTTTATTTTATTTTTTTTTGATTAATTTTGAAGATAGCTAATTTAAATTAAATTAATTTAAATTTTTTACCAGAAATAAAATTTTAGGTTTGAAACAACTTTTTTTATAGTGTATACAGAGAAATTTGTTTTTAAGGAAAATATATATTTTATTTAACGCTTTTAATTTTGTTGTTGATGATGCTGTTTTCTTTTGTTGGTGGTTTTAGAAAGCAGGTTTCTTAGCTGGATTGTTTTTTTTTAAGGGGGAAAAGGAGATAGTTATGTTAAGAGATACAGATAGTCATAGACATAAGATAAACGAGTACATAGAGAGAGCAGGAAGACACACAGATATAGAGATAGATAGTGAGACAGACAGAGAAAGAGACTGCAAGAGAGGCTGCAGCAGGAAGAAACACGGTTACGCAGAAAGAAAAGAAAACCAAAACCTTAAAGAAAAGAAAAGACAAGAAACAACGAAGGGGAACCAGAAAATAGAAACCAAAAGTAAACACCGTGACATGCGACGACAACAACAGCAACAACAGGAACAACCAGAGTGGGGAGAAAGAGCACAACAACAAAAAAAAAAAGTGGATAAGAAACCGGGGGGGCGAGGCATAAGTCAAAGAAAGAGAAACGAAGAAACAGAAAGAAAACGTTGCGTATGCGTAATTCACGCTCCAGTTGCGTGTCCTGTGGCCGTGTGTCTGTGTGAGTGTGTTCCTGTTCATGTCAGAGTTTTGGATACACAGAGAAAAAAAAATAATACTATTCAGGATACAAAACTCTTTAATTTAGAAATTCAAATTTGTTTTTTCACTAAATAAATATTACTAGATTTGAATTTAATCTATCTGATTTTAAAAGACTCTTAAAGTCAGATTATTTTTAAGTTGAGAAAGAACAGTGCAATTAATATCTGTTATAAGTTTTATTCATAGCAATAAATAAATTACATGGAAAACGAAAAAAAAACTGGTTTTGTATATAGAAAATAACCCTGCTTTTTACTTAAAGGTTAAGGACCTTTTTCCAAATAAATCTTTCTATCTCTGCGATTCCATTTGAATGTAAACACAAAATTTATCTATCTGCGGCCGAGAAGCTCAACGTTATTTAAAGATTTATGCCATGAATAAATCATTCTTAAATCACGAATTTTTGCTCCTTGAATTTTTAATTTTTTTCTCCGTGCATGTGTGCGGTTGGTGTGCATGTGGGGGTGTCCTGTCAGCAGAATCAACACACAACAACTCGGATTTTCCGGCAATGTTCAGCGAAGCTTCTCTGGCGGATTCCGCCAACAGGACCAAAAAAATCTGTGCCTGTCTGTGTGTCTACGTGTGAGTATCTGTGTATCTGTGGGTTTCTGTATCTGTATCTTTTTTTTTTTTTTTTTTTTTGACTAACTCGAAACGGAAAATGCAACTGAAAAATACACATATACATATATATCTATAGATATAGATATATGTACATCTGGTTAGCAAACGTGTTGGCTGGAATAACTTGTGGCAAAAGCTAAAAGTTTAATTGGTTTCTGCTTTACTTGGCATAGTTTTTTGTTTCTTTTTTTTTTTTACTTATTTAAAGTTTTGTCATGTGTGAGGGGGGCTTTTTGAAGTACATAAACTAAACGAATTTCGCATTCTTACTGCTCCGCTGGGCAGCAAAAACACACTGATAGTAACAACAACAACAATATCGAAGAAAAGGCAGCAGCAGCAGCAGCGGCAGCTGTGACTGCAACCGCTCTGCTTGGCCCTGCTCTCCAGCCGGAACTGGGCACCGGAAGTGGCACCGGAACCGGAGCCGGAACTTACCTCCTGCGGTGGCACATCGTAGGTTCGGGTACGCAAGTCCACTCGGGCATAGGAGTCGATGCAGGGCAGGATGAAGAAGATACCTGTAATTACGGCCAAGATGCATTACACTCTCGTTTTGGTATACAGCGAAAAAAAACACTAGTCAGCATGGGGTATATTTTTACAAGAATTTTCTGTTGAAATTAACCTAAAGTAGGGACAGTAGTAAAGTATTATATATATTCTGAACCTGGTTTAAAGGGGTTATTAACAATTTAAATTTAAAGGATAATTTAAATATAATCGAAAAGAAATCAAAATTTCGATACATTGTTACTTAACGATATTTTCCTTTTAATCGAATAATATAATAAACATTTTTCTATAATATTTTTTGATATTCCGAATTTCGCTTTATCTAATGTACATACATTTTTGATATATTATATCGGACCTTTCTCTTTGATTTTATCCTGCTCTCGATAGTTATGCTTTAAAATTTAAAATTTAAATAATATAACCTAATTTTGTTATATGAAAAAATTATAAAAAAATTAAAAAGCTAAGCTTATATGCTTTTCAAAAAAGTTTCCTCAGTCCCAAGTTTTGTAGACTAGTGTTCTCTGACTGTGTCAGAACTTCGCCTCGATTTGCCTAATCTCTTCCTCCCTGGGAATGGGAGCGCAAAAGCAGAGCACACGGACACTGAGGCACTGAGGCCGCCCTTAGAGTCGCTAATTTGGAGCAAGTGCAGCAATTAACACAAATTCTTGTCGCCAGCAAGCGGCACTAAAATTTGCATAGAATCGTTACCCTGCTGCTCACCTGCGCCTGCACTTGCACCTGCACCTGTCGCTTATGCACTGAGTACTCACCTGGGCCCTTGGCACCACCCTGCATGAGGCGACCCAAACGGAAGATAACCGCGCGCTCGTACTCCTGCACCACCTGGAAAATGTGGCACGTGAGTGAAATGTTCGTGAAATGAAATTGAAACTCGAAGGATTACAGGAAGGAGGTGGAGTTTAAAAATTAAAAAAATACCCTGGGAGCGGTTACTAGCATTGTAATAGGTCAGCTAAGTACTAGAAAAATGATTTAAGAAATACATTTTAAAAGCTAAATTAAACAATATTGAAAATAATGAAATTAATTAAGTAGTTTTTTTTTTAAATATTGTCAAAAACATATTTTATAATAATAAAATACAAAATATGATATAAACGTATTACAAATAAATATGAATAATAGTACAAAATTAGGTAAATTATTAAAACTACTTTTACCTTTCTTATAAAAAAAAAAAAAAATAATTAAAAATGCAAGAACAAAATGAAAACAGATAACAAAAAAATATTTCTGAATGCAAACTAAACTTAGCTAGAGGTTTTCAAATATATTGTTAATCAAGAACTAATTTCAGAGAAGTGGAATAATAATGATAATAATTAATAATTAATTAGTTCATATTGCTTACCTTGAAGCACACGAATAGACTGAATGGTAACGTCATTATCACAAGTGCCACGGATAGAAATATTAGCAATTTTCCGCATGTTGATGCCTTATCGCTGATTTCCTCGTCCGCTGCGAGAGAACGTGGCGAGAAAACGGAAAATGACTTATAGATACATATAGCATGGCTAGATGGAATCAAGTGCTCAAAGCAAATGCTGCAAATTAAGGCTTAAGCTATAAATTCGTTCGTATTTTACTCGCTTTCCTCTTGCACAGCCTGTAACATGAATAATGCGCGGAGCGTTGGCTTTGGCACCAAGGAAAAAAAGTACAGAAAAAAGTCTTAAACGAAAGACCTCCGTTTGGCGCATACAAAAATCGCAGACAGAATGTCGGAGAAAAAAAAGAAAAGAAAATACTGCTGAGCCGGAAAAAATGCGACAAAAACGGAACGGGCATTCTTCATTACGAAACTCGAATTTTTCCTTAAAGTTTAGCCAAAAATTGAAGTTGCTGCCCGAGAGAGAGAGAGAAAAAGATGTGGGCAACAAGTCGCCCATTTCTGCTTATTGATACTTGAGATGCGCCATCATTTCGATGGCCTCGTAAAAGTCAAAACGTTGGTCCTTTGGGGAGCCTGGAAAAATCTGTAGCATACTTAGGTGCGCTCACCGAACAACAAAAAATATTTGGAAAAATACGTTTACATTTATAGAGAGATAGATACAGGCAAACAAGGAGTGTGCATATTTAAATGAAACATCTTAGCAAATACTCGTAGATAGATATAGTTGATAGATAGAAGAAGAAGATATAGATATAGGCATAGTTATAGTTTATAGTTTAATCATGTAACGAGTAAAAAAGTAGCTTTGTGTTGTATCTGTTTCTGTTTCGTTTTTGATTTTTGGCTGTGGGATGTGGGGATCTTTTTCTGTTTTTGACAAAGGGTTTCTGTTCCAAATTGGTGCGACTTACAATAGAGAAATCCATGTGAATGTTTTGCTTGTGTATCTGCAAGAATACGATAAATCGAATAACAGAGAGAAATTAATCGGGAATGCATATCGGCTCAATCATGTGGTTGTCTGGGAGCTGGTTCTTGTGTTTGTCTTAATCCTGTGATCCTTGCCATGCAGTTCTTTTTGGGGTTTACATTTTCTTTTTTGGGTTAATAGCATGCTTCGACGAACTACGAAACTGAAAACGAGAAACTGTCAACTGAAACTAACTATAACTACACAACCGAAGGCGAAATCATAAATTATTCATGCAACACATTTAAATGCTGTTTACGCGTTTGTTGTTTGTCTGCCTTGTGGCACTCGGTGTTCGGTGATTGGTGTTCGGTTTTTGGATTTTCCGACTGCTGCTGGCTTTTTCCGCTTTTCGGTTCGTTGCCAGCTGCAACGGCAACTGCTGGCAATTAGCGGCACAGTTTGCATTTCAGTTTCAATTACAGTTCATTGAAAAGTTGCCACAATGCCAACACCCAGCAACGACGACGTCAGCAAAGTGTTTTTAACGAGCTCTCACCCGCACACTCTGGGCACTCCATACACACACCCCGCACACTGGCACACACACACACACTCTCACAGACACAACATGAAAGGCGACACTGGAAAAAGGAAAACTTTGATGGGCGAATCCTGGCTGGATCCTGGCTAAGCCAACAAGCTGCCAAACATTCAAGGAGCCTCCAGGCTCCCGCCTTCTACCTCCTGCCACCTGCTGCCCTGCCACCTTTCCTGCTTTCCCCTGCCTCCTCCTTGGCCGCAGCAAACTTTTATTGAAATTGATTTCGAAATAATTGCGATTTGAATGTGCCGGGGCAGAATCCGAGAGCGGGGGGAAGGGCTCTATCAAGATGAAAGGCTTTCTGGATTTGCCAGCAACGCTTCGGGGCGCAGTGACCGCAGATCTAATAGATTTATAGCTAAATGGCTCCCATAAAAATGATAAAAGATAGCAAAATGGGACACAGCTCAAAATGTAATTAGGTGTGTGGGTGCTTTTTTTCAACCTTAATTGCCTCGGCTTAAGTCTTTTTTTTTGCAGGATTTAAATCGAATTGAAAGTAAAACAATTTGAAACTCTTTAAGGGTACCGAGGGTTTTTTTTATATCGAAAGATACCACAGATATCTGTAGTAATTTTACAACTTTTAAAAGTTGTTATCCAAGTATTCTAGGTAAGCATTCTCTTTTGCATACTTTTACCCTTTTGTAAAGCTATTTAAGATATAAGAATAATTTTGTAAGTTGAAAATAAACAAAACATCAAATAAAACCCATTTAACAAAATAAAATTCCAATTTTATCATGATCTAAGGTTTTATTTCACCTTAAAAAATCATTATAACATGCTTAGGTGTTTTATTTAAACTATAAAGATGTTTTGTTTCCGTCTGATAACGTCACAACTTCATCGCAACAGAAAATGTCACGACAACTTTAATAGCTTTGCCCAAAGCTTTTCCAATGGAAAATATCCATAACTGTGCACTGGGCATAATAAAAAGCTGAAAACAAGCTAATAATTGCTGTTTTTAATAGCTTTTGCTGGAAAAAGGTGGCCATTTCAATAAACAATGTCTAAAACACGGTCAACTTTCACAGCACGGTTATCTGTAGCCCAATTGATCGCTAATAAATATTTGAGCAGTGCCACTGCAAACAGCACTTGGCTGCGGGTTATTTAATTTTTGTTATTCCAATTGTGTGTGCCTGTGTGTGAGTGTTGGCCAAAGGAAAAGCCAGCAAAAAGTGCTGAATTTACCTTAATGTACAATCTCGGAGAACAATGTGTGGTCATAATTTTTTAATGACCAGCCAGCGGCTGTCCGGCGGTGTTCCATCTCTCGCTCTCGCTCGCCCGCGTGAGCTCCAGCACCACCCACTCGCTCAAGGCAACCCGCTCAAATACCACCCATACTCTGCCACTACTCACCCCCAGCCCCCGCACCACATCAACGCATACGTCAGAGGCAGCCCCTGGCAAAAAGCTTTGCTCTGGAAAATGGGTCAGCTCGTTGTTGCTTTTGGTCCTGCTTTCAACTCCCAGCTCCCAGCTCCTGCTCCTGCTTCTGCTGGTGTTGCTGTGTGCGCTGTTGTTGTTGTTGCTGTTGTGTTATGCCCGTGCTCGTATATAAGTTAAAGCAATTCCTGATTGAATTTTGCATGGGAAATGCGAAAGGAAAGACTATCTGCCCCGACACCTCGCCTCGTCCTTAGCTGCCACTGAAAATCCTTTTGTCGGTCCTAATGAAGCGATTAGCATGCATGTGAAATGGCCCACAGATATATCAACATTTATGTACACCTAACCCGATTAAACAGAGATACACACACAGCCAGTTGGCATCAAAAGATCGAAAGAAATGGGTGATTTTTCTACACTTTCTGTAGGTTATTAAATCAAAGAAATATTCTTCTTAAAGCTAAGAAAATTATGGTTCTAGGGAGTAAAATATCGAAAGTTTGAAAGCATTTTCTATTTTCTATAGCTTTGCTCGTGGAATTTCCATATTATTTACACAAATTAGGGAAAACTATTTCATAAACTATCAAGTTTCATTAAGATTTGAGAGTTATTTTCTTGGGTTTTAGCAGGACTCTCTTATCCTTTCGATCTTCTCATGGACTGTGTGCAGAATGTGTGCGAGAAAAAAGAAAGTTTCGTTCAAAAAAACATATATACAAAATCCAAATTGCGTCTTCTCGAATCAATGTCGCTAGTCGATGCAAAGCGTTTGGTTTATTTTTTTTGGTTCTTGGTGGTGTTTGGGTCCTTGGAGACCGCGCAACAAGTTCAGCCAGCCTACAGTGCACACTCTCCATGAGCCACCAGGACGTCTAGGATGAGCTCACCTCGTCGCGCCTCGGCTCGGTGGATGGCCTGCTGCTGCTGCGACTGCTGCATCAGCGCATGATGGCTGTGTGGCAGCTGCTGCTGCTGTGGTGGTGCCATTAGCTGCTGCTGATTTTGCATTTGCTGCTGCGGCTGCTGTTGGTGATGGTCGCGCTGCTGCAATTGCGGCAACTGCTGCTGCTGCATCTGCTGCTGCTGCAGCGGCTGCTGCGTTTGCTGCTGTTGATGCAGTTGCATGGTGGCATTAACGGGCAGCGGCGATGAGGCTGCATTGCTCTGCTGGTGATGATGCAGATGAAGGTCACGATCCCGCTCGCGCTCACGCTCCCGCTCTCGCTCCCTGTCCCGATCCCGCTCCCGATCCCGCTCTCGATGATCGGCCGATGGACTGGCCGTGGTGGCCGCCGGCGCTGGCGATGCAAAGGTGCTGGTACTGGTGCTGGCCACCTGGCGGGCGGACTGGTGGTGGTGCTGCTGCTGGCGGTGCAGCTGGTGGTCCCGGTGCTCCATGTCCATCATCGAGTCGGGCATCAAGCCGCGCTCGCAAAACGACGCCAGTGCGATGGTTGTGGCTGGCTGCTTCAGCTGGTCAATCGGAGTGGATTCCGGCCTTATCCCGGCCTTATCTCTGGCGCTCAGTCTCAGTCCAGGTTGAGCATCTCACTAGCTCTGTTCTTTTCGCACACGCACACGCCACTAACACTGTCGCGAACACGGTTATGGGTACACAGTCAAGACACGCACACTCGCACACACTCACTACGGTGAGCTAGTTTTCCTAGCTGTGTCCATTTCCCACTCGGCTCGGTGTTACACTCAGCTCGGCTCGACTCCTCTCGGTTCCTACCCAGCTCCTGCTGTCCTGCTGTCAGCTCGCTCAGAATCCAACTGAAAGTGCGCCATTAGCGAGCATCCTTTTATATACTTGCTTGTCCCGAGGAGGAGCTGTTAACCAGAGAGCTTTGGCTCTCAACTTTGTTATCACCAGGCTGGCCGGATCGAAGAGCTTTCCTCTCCCTCAGCAGCAGCGTTAGTGCAGGCTGCAGGTGCAATCGAGAGCAATCCGCAGGAGATGCAGTCCGCTCCCGGCAGCTTTCACCTTTGCCATATTCCCTGCCAGCTTGCACTGACCTTGCGCACTCCCCGACACATTGGTCCTGGCTGGAACTTCAGGAACGAAGCTTTGCCCCCTCGAAGCTTTTCGTCCTGGCAGGGGAAGAGCTCTCACTCTCTCGCTGTCTCTCTCTCTTCCCGGCTGTGGATTTTTAGTTCAGCGAGAAGAGGGACTGTTTTAGCACAGACTTCCCCTGCTGCTGCTGTTGCTGCGTGTGGCGCACAGGTGTACAGGTGACAAACCTAATTTATGACACCTTTAACGCTGTTGATGCCACACTCCATATAGCAGGACCCCTACTCCTCCTCCCAGGGATCTATTGTAGTCAGACTAGAGTGCCCTCTGTGTGTTTGCCAACTGGCATGGAATGATACGAGTACGAGTCTGGGTATGAGCCTGGGCACGGGTCGGGTTGGCTGCCATTCTATACCATCCCAACACATCCTGGCTGCCGCGCCACGCTTGGCTGCGAATTTCTAATGAACCCACCTCCAGAGCCTGTCGAACTGTCGCTGTCGAATATTTTAGGTCACATGTAGCTCCTGAGCTTTGCTTTGAGCTGTCAATTACCGTTTACGCTTCATTAGGCGCCACAAGATGGCAGGCGCGAAGGGGCACACGGCAAGAAAATCACTCGAAATGTGATTAAAATAAAATTGAATAGCATCTTGGGTGTTTTAGAAATCTCTAGGGATTTGAAACCTCTTAATAATTTGTCTAAAAGTATGCAATGATATTGTTAAAGGTAACGAAAGCAGTGTAAATTTTAATTTAGAATTGTGTAGCATAATTTTAGACACTTTTGAAAGGGTTTTAAAAACTCTAGAGATTTCAAAGCGCTCCCTTAAATATTTTAAAATTATTTTTTATGTTCCATAAAGAAGGAGTACATTGACATTTGGAATAGTGCTCAAATATTTCTTAAGGAAACCCGATTCACATATTTTTCCATTAAAACTTCACTTAATATATTTATATTTCTCTCACTGTATAAAAAACATGTAAAAAACTGAGCTAGATGGCCCTCCCCTGGAGCACACAACGCGCTGAAGTGGCGGGCATCCGATATGCCGATATAGCGTGTCAACTGTCGCACCACGGTGCGTATGAGTGTCATTATGTTTGACATTCATTCACAACACTCCACAAAGGAGCATACACACACACTCACACTCTCTACACTGCCTCAGTAGGGCAGTTAATTAATCTCGGGCTGCTGATTAATGTGCGGATTGATTTGGGTATTGCCATAAATTCCCCTTTGCAGACAAATGGGGCACTCGAGTCCCTAGGACCTACGAAGAGGCATTATTATTGAGCAATCAGAGTGGTCTGGGTATGCTTTTGACTACGGACTCTCCACCGTATGGTGCACGTGAACACATACACTTGCTACCAGATTCTAATCACGGAAAGACCAGGGAATTCCCTCTGTGTTGTTGCCATCCATTAAAGGTTAAATTCTCTCGGCAAATAATCGATTGCTGCAGGGTTTAGTGAGGGATTTTGTAGGGGATATGGAAATTATGTCTTTAATAAATATGTATAAATTATAAATAGAACTTAATCATTTCTAAGTTTCTAACAAAAGAAGAAGCTTTTCCAATCTTTATTTTAGACATAGTTCTAAGAACAAAGTTTACCCCCCATAAAACCTACTAAATGACTTGTGTTTACTTTCCAGCTACAAAATGTTTACATCCTATGTCTATGAGATATAGTTTCCATCCTTTCGCTCGATTTGCATTTGGCATTCAATTAAATTGCTTCATTGGGCAGGCAGAAGTAAAAGCAACTGCATGGAAAATTGAGTGGAAATAAAGTTGAGGTTTCAAAGGGAATTTTGGCTCGGAGAAAAGATTGCTAAAAAACCACTTACAATCCTACCCGGGAACAGGACATTCTGCAAACGGAATTTCAAAGCAGGGGCCGACGACAAGACAGGACTTCTTAACCACAACCGGATGGCAGTTAAGTGAGGTCCGCCTCCCGGCTCTTATTCTGCCATACGCAGTTTTTATAGACCGAAACATAAAAGCGAAGCCCAGGCCAGCCCATATCAGCCTATAACGAAAGACAAAGCCGCAAAAGCCATAAACACGATTTGCCAATGCAGAAAGACAGAGAGGGAGAAGAGCAAAAGGATTGCTGGATTGGGCGGGAGTCCTGACGAAGGCGACCGAATATGATGTCACACACAACACATGGGCGAGCGAAATTTCGGCCAAGCACTGTGAACCGTAGGTCCTGCGGCGCTCTGTGTGCGAAATTAGCCAGGCAAATATGTCGCACTTAACAGCCAGCGGAAGAGTATGGCCGAGAGAGAGAGAGAGGTGCCTTTCGGTGGGTGGTGCTCATAGGATGTGGCAGGATGTGGCTCGAACAATGGCCTGTGCAATTGTCGAGGCCTGCGGCGAGGGGTCAGGCGGAGATAAAGGACGCCAACACTCTGGGAAAAGGGGATTCAGTTGCTGGAAAAAGCTTAAATTATTTAGTTATAAAATTAAATTTAGAAATTTAACTTGAGTCTAAGTATTTTTAATATTTTAAATAATATTTTTTTAGTAACCTAAGGTTTAAAAATCTATTTAAAAAGTGTTTAAAAGTAGACAAAAAAATGTTTATGGCTCCAAATATTGTTATGTAAATTACTTTTAAAAAGATTTTAACTCTAGAGATTTCATTAACGTTATAAATTTGGTTAAAAATATAAACTAATCCAGCAAAAATTCACTTTAACATTAACTTTGATATATGGCTTTTTACTTTTAATAAAAGTGAGATAAATCCAGAAAAACCTTTAGTTTCACACAAGAAATTTCTGTTATTTCTCTTCTCTTTTTTCTCTGTCCAGAGATAACTGCCCCTATCTTTTCATTCCCCCTTGCCCGCCCCCTTGGCTGCCTTTCAATTGCCAACGTTTGCGCTTTTCCGTCGGGAAAATAGGGGGGAAAATGGAGGAAGGACTGGGCATCGGTTGGGTGGCAAGTATGTGACACAAATGCGTCGAATTATTGTCAGATATGAGGTCACTGTCCCTGTCGCGCAGTGAAAGTTTCCCGAGACACTCGAGCAAACAAACACATTCAATCCTGGCCCTGTTTGTTTGCCCCGCTGCTCGCCTGCTCAGCTGCCCCGTTGGCCATTGTGCGGGCCAGAAGTTAAGCAAAGTTTGCTTGAACAGGACCACAAGTACAACTGGTGGTGCGATGTAACTACCATGTATCTGCGGCTTGTTGCAAAATTCTAAAGGAGCTCGTTGAAAGCGAGGAGGATGTGCTGCTGCTGCTGCTGCTGCTGTGCGTTTTTGTTCCAGCAGAAGCAACAGCTCCGAATCAATTTGCGTGGAGCATTACGGATGCCGGGAGACCCGTATTTTCGTTAGTATTACGGCAGTATTATCCTTTGCTCCTTTGGCCTGCTTGCTGCCTCATCAAATATGAATAGGTGGGCGGGGGCGGTGGCGGTGGTGGAATTTATTCGACACGGCTCCTGGCCACCGAATGAAATATGCCAGTTCGGTTTATGAAACTGATTGGACCCCAAAGTCTCGAGTCTGGGCTGCCCGAGTTCCTCGTTAAAGTTGCATGCGGCTATGAAAAGGCAACTTTTGCAAGAGATACCAAGCCAAAACTGACACAAACTTGTATGTCTATAGATGCACGGCAAAAGATTATGGCCAGAAATAAATGTTCATTAAAAATGCCATGGAAATTAATCGTTTTGAAATGTAAAAAGCTCAGCCAGAAGTTAATTTGGCATAATTAAATATTTAGATCAGCAATAAATCTGGAAAGGATACAACAAGTGAATCATTTGTATTAAAAAAAAAACTGGTAATTGGATTTAAAGCCAATTAAAATGCTATCAGAAAGTATGAATAATATAATTTAAGTTCTTTTTTGCGCAATAATAAAATGAACTCCAGATTTTTTGATATAACTGAATTATTTTTATATTATTCGTTTATAAGTTATAAATGATTATATTTAATTTTAATTAATAATCTGACAATTTAAAATAATTATGGATATTATATACTAAAAATAGTATAATATTATAGATATATAAATTTGTTGAGAAATAATGTAAACAAATTATGGATATTATATACTACAAATATTTGAATATTTTAGGAACTGAATCGTTTAGAAATAATATATTATCTTCATCATATTAAAAGTACTATTTTGAAGGATACTTATGAACCCTTGTTTGATAATTTCCAATTGAAATTTTATTTAAATTCATAGAAAAAACATAAGAATAATTGGAAATTAGTTTTAGCATCGTTATCGACTAAATTACAGCTAATATTAAATAAAATTTCTTCTACTTAACCCAAGCTTATATAAAACCTATTATTCATCAAATTTAAGTAATCAAAATAATGATGATAATACCTTCTCCGCTACCTCAATTTTTTTCATTTTATATTCAAATCTATTCTCATTAAAGCCAGGCCAACTATATCAATGGCCTTCATTAGGCTGGATATTCATCGTTTTGGCAGGCGACTTGCTAAGTCGGTCTACTGTCAGGACGGACTAACGCCCAATCAATAATTCATAACCAGCGCACATTGACGACGCATTCCCCGGCACTCGGCAATAAAATGAAAAGCGAAATGAAAAACTGCCCTGGCCAAATGCTTGCCAATAATTCAACGCTAGCTCCGTTCGATTCAGGGTCCTGTGCCGCTGCTCCCGACTTTATCAATGGTAAATCGGACTGTAGATACATATATATACATATA